CCCCCCCCCACCATAGTCCAGTTCTCCCCCCGCCCCGGCTCCTCCTCCGCCGCCCGTCAGCTCCAGCTGGGGTCATACCCCGTCCATCCAGCAGGCGGCGCCAGGTAAACGCGTCGTCCCCGGTAGACGAAGCTGACGATGCCGCGGTACCCGGCGCGGGGGACCCCGGATTTGAGATCGTCCATCAGCCCCAGAGCTTTGGCGAAAGCTTTGAAGGACTCACGGCTGCTGTACTGGAGCCGAACGGTTCCTAATTCCCGACGGTGATTTCCTTGAAGTTCTTCAACTTTTACCTCGGGAGCTGAATAAACTTGAGTTAAAAACCCTCGTTCGTATTCTTCTTTTTTGAGGTAAGAAAGATCCAATTGGGTAAAAGGCACGAAACGGTCGTTTAATTTGATAAATTTTAAATATTGATCAAAAAATTGCCCGTGACTTACACCTTTCCTCCCAAAAGTCATCGTCCGGGAGATTTCAGGTCGGACGCAAGAACGATCGCGTCGTTGTTCTGGTTGTCTCATCCAATCATCCCAAAAAGCTTTTGGCCATTTAGGTTCTAATTCATCCCAAAGTTCAGCTAAAAGTAACCAACCTAAACCAGGAAAAAAATCAGTTCTATAAAGTAAATCAGCTCTGGTGAGATCAATCATTTGTTCTTTACCGTTATCGTTCCACGCCGAAACGCACCAAAGACTCCGGTCGGTGAGGAGAAGTGGGAAAGCAGCTTGGAAATACTCAAAAAAATCAGGAGCAATTTCTAAATCATCTTCCACCACGATCACAGCTCGATAATGAAAGTGATGAAACATCTGCCCTAAAGCCCAACGATAATGACGAGCGATTTTATAATAACCTTGGAATTTCCGATGCTCCGAGGGGACGGGGATGTCACTCAGATCCGGTTGTTGGATGTGGGACACGGAGTCACCGTAGGAAGCGATGACACGAGCTGTCTCTAAATGACCACAATCTTGACTGACGATCACCGGGAACCGTTCCGCCGACGGCCGGTAACGTAAGAGTTTATCCAAACAACGCCTGACGGTGCTACGGTCACAAGCCAGCACTAAAACAGGTAACACGGTGTTACTGGGATCACTGGGATGACTGGGATGACTAGGAGGAGGTTTTTGGGGTGGTTTCAAGGTAGGTGGTTGTGGGGTGATGGGGATTTCTCGTTGCCCAACCCATAAATTGCTGTATCGATGGATTTGATGTAAAAGTTCTTGTTGTTTGGTTAATTCCTTCTCGGCTTCTTGAGCCAAACGGATGATTTCCCCCGTTAAACGGGCGCCTTCCCCCGAGGATGAGGATGAGAATGAGGAAGGAGAAGGTGGGCGACTCCAAAGGAAGAGGAGGAGGAGGCAGTTCCAGGCGATGAAGAGCGCCGCCCCCCACAACGCCCAGCTGCTCTTCTTCAGCATCCTTCAGCGCTGGATCCTACGCCATCGAGCTGCAGGGGGGGGGAAATGGGAGGGAAAGGGTTAAAAAGAGACAGAAAACTCATTTTTGGCCTCAAAATCAGTGCTGGAGGGGATAGAAAACCCCTTTTTCACCCCAAAATCAGCAGAAAACCCCTTTTTCACCCCAAAATCAGTGCTGGAGGGGATAGAAAACCCCAAATCGGTGCTGGAGGGGATAGAAAACCGCTTTTTCACCCCCAAAATTGGTGTTGGACGGGACAGAAAACCCCTTTTTCACCCCAAAATTGGTGCTGGAGGGGATAGAAAACCCCTTTTTCACTCCAAAATCAGCAGAAAACCCCTTTTTCACCCCAAAATCAATGCTAGAAGGGAGGCAAAATGCCTTTTTCACCCCAAAATCGGTGCTGGAGGGGACAGAAAACCCATTTTTCACCCCAAAATCGGTGCTGGAGGGGACAGAAAATGCCTTTTCCACCCCCAAATTAGCAGAAGACCCCTTTTTCACCCCAAATCTGTGCTAGAATGGACAGAAAACTCCTTTTTCACCCCCAAATAAGTACTGGAAAGGGACAGAAAACCCCTTTTCACCCCTTTTTCACCCCCAACTTGGTGCTGGAGGGATAGAAAACCCCTTTTCACCCCCAAATTGGTGTTGGACGGGACAGAAAACCCCTTTTTCACCCCAAAATAAGCGCTGGAAGGGAGAGAAAATGCCCTTTTCACCCCCAAATCGGTGCTGGAAGGGACAGAAAACCCCTTTTTCACCCCAAAATAAGCGCTGGAAGGGAGAGAAAATGCCCTTTTCACCCCCAAATCGGTGCTGGAAGGGACAGAAAACCCCTTTTTCACCCCAAAATAAGCGCTGGAAGGGAGAGAAAATGCCCTTTTCACCCCCAAATCGGTGCTGGAAGGGACAGAAAACCCCTTTTTCACCCCAAAATAAGCGCTGGAAGGGAGAGAAAATGCCCTTTTCACCCCCAAATCGGTGCTGGAAGGGACAGAAAACCCCTTTTTCACCCCAAAATTGGTGCTGGAGAGGATAGAAAACCCCTTTTTCACCTCCACATTGGTGCTGGATGGGACAGAAAACCCCATTTTCACTCCCAAATCAGCAGAAAACCTCTTTTTCACCCCCAAATCAGTGCTGGAGGGGATAGAAAACCCCTTTTCACCCCGCAAATCAGCAGAAAATCCTTTTTTCACCCCCAAATCAGTGCTGGAGGGGACAGAAAACCCCTTTTTCACCCCAAAATCAGCAGAAAACCCCTTTTTCACTCCAAAATCAGGGCTGGAAAGGGACAGAAAACCACCTTTTCACCCCAAAATCAGCAGAAAACCCCCTTTTCACCCCAAAATCAGTGCTGGAGGGGACATAAAATGCCTTTTTCACCCCCAAATTAGCAGAAAACCCCTTTTTTACCCCACAATCAGTGCTGGAGGGGATAGAAAATCCCTTTTTCACCCAAAAATAAACAGAAAACCCCTTTTTCACCCCCAAATTGGTGCTGGAAGGGACAGAAAACCCCATTTTCACCCCAAAATCAGCAGAAAACCCTTTTTTCACCCCAAATCAGTGCTGGAGGGCACAGAAAACTCATTTTTCACCCCAAAATCAGTGCTGGAGGGGACAGAAAACCCCCTTTTCACCCCAAAATCAGCAGAAAACCACTTTTTCACCCCAAAATCAGCAGAAAACCCCTTTTTCACCCCAAAATCAGGGCTGGAAAGGGACAGAAAACCACCTTTTCACCCCAAAATTAGCAGAAAACCCCCTTTTCACCCCAAAATCAGCAGAAAACCCCTTTTTCACCCCAAAATCAGGGCTGGAAAGGGACAGAAAACCACCTTTTCACCCCAAAATTAGCAGAAAACCCCCTTTTCAACCCAAAAACAGTGCTGGAGGGGACAGAAAACCCCTTTTTCACGCCCAAATCAGCAGAAAACCCCTTTTCCCCCCCAAATTAACAAAAAACTTCCCTTTTCCCCCCCAAATCATCAGAAAACCCCCTTTTTCACCCCCAAATTAACAGAAAACCCCCTTTTTCACCCCAAAATCGGTGCTGGAGGGGGACAGGGACCCCCGAAGGGTGATGTCACCCCAAAATAATCAGTGAAAACTTCAACTCACCTCCCCAAAAGTTCCTGCCCCCC